TATTTAAACAAAAATAATAATAACAAAAAAGAAATTAAAAAAAAAAAAACCTTCAAGCTGACATAAAAATATAAAAAAAAATCCGTCTAAGCCTACACTCAAGCAATTGACCTGATTTTCCACATTCATAGAACATTTTGAATGAAAAAAGAGAGAAAAAAAAACAGAACCTAAAAAAAAACATTTTTAGCTCCCCTATGAAGCATCGTAACTTGCATTCAAATTCTCTATAAATATGAAATAATCTAACACAATAAACAACAAAAAGGAGAGACATAAGGAGAGCGAGAAGGTGAGAGAGTAAGACAGAGAGAGATGTATTCAGGCAATGCCTATGCTACTGTTTACACCCTAGCATTGGGCTTCGCCGCTATGTAGGTCAGGATGTGACCCAATTGCAGTCGAGTATTGCGGAAATGCTGATCATGGCATAATTGGCTAACCACGTGGCACGTGGCACGTTGTGCCGGCTACCCTGTAAATTGCTGTGTGTGTTTGTATATATATGTGTGTGTGTGTGTGGTCACGCTGCATACTCACCAAATAAGTAAAGAAACGCGTACTATTTTTCTTGAATTTTTACAGGGTAAACAAACAGTTGGATTTTGGGTTTAATATTCTGTTGACTGCGTTTTCAGCAACATTTAATAAATCGACTGGCTTATGACCTTTTTATATTGAATGTGGCATTAGCATGTGGGTGTGTGTGAGTGTGCACACAAGTGCATCAGTATGTGATATATGTATATATGGACATGTGCATATGTACATACATGCATATATTAGTAAATAATATATTTATAGCTAGAGTTGAACTTTCAACAGTTTACTGAAGTCACACTCCCACAGTCACACACACACACACAGAGAAAGAGAGAGAGAGAGAGATGGGCGAACGCACAACAAACAACAACAATAAGGAACAATGTTCACGAACGGAATCCTTGAAGCAGGAAAATAGCTCGGCTTAAGTTGCTGGCGATTAACCGGTTAAAATGTTGAACGAAATTGCACTAGTTAAATAGGTTGAAACGTTTAATTGATAGCTGCTGGGCCAGAGAGCTGCTGTCGCATCTGCAGCGCTTTCAAAGTGTAATTTAATATGGGAACCTACTGCTACGCTGGACTCGACACTCGACACTCGACACAGTGCTGCGCTGCCGTTTATCGCGAGTCGTGGAGGGTTCTGCAAGTACGAACAAGTATCAAAACGCCAGCAGCATCAAATGTTTGTCGTCGGCCTTCGCAATGCAAAGCGCTGTCGCTGTCGCTGTCGCTGTCGCTGTTGACGCTGCCGTTGCTGTTGCTGTTGCTGTTGCTGTTGTCGTTGCTGTTGTCGTTGCCTTTGCCTTTGCTGTTGACGACGCGTTGTAGGCAACGCCATTTGAGTTCGCTGTCGGCGGCCATCGGCGTTCGGCTGTCGGCAATCGGCCATCGGGTGGCATTCGGCTCACCGTTTTGCGCATTCGTTTTTTCGCTTACATTGCAGTTGCAGCGAATGTCTCAAGCAGCCCGACCCAGTGTGCCAGTCTTAACGCGCGCTCGCTCTCCCTCTCTCGTTCACTGTCTCTCACCCACACTCACACTCACACTCTCTCGCATTTCTTTCACTCTCTGTGTGTCAAGCGGACGCTGTCTCTCCGTCTTTTGCTCTCTTCTGCCGCTGTGCTTCGTTATTAACGTCGCTTTTCTTTTAATTGGCATTAACGATTTCAAGCCAAAAGCAAGGTGCATAAGGCGAAAACGTATGCAACAACTACAAGTACATACATCTGCATGCATGTGTGTGTGTGTGTGTCTGTGTATGTGGCACATGACAAGCGCAAATAAACAATATAATTATTGTTTATATGCCCAAATATTTAGCTGATGTGATTTCGTGCTTAGCTAGTATAGCTGGCAAATAGCCAGCCGCAGCATATTGCTGACATCATCATCGTCATCATAATCATCATCATCGAAATACGCCCCACAAAACTTGCCGCAAAATGCGAGCAGCGAAAGCCTTGAACTGAAAAAAAAAAACACTCACACACAAACACACACACACACAGACAAGCATTAAACTGCATAATGCATTGATCAAGCACACTTGGCTATGATCGTGGCCATGAGACTAACTAACTGAGCTAATCGATCCGAATATGCTAACTGCCCTTTATATAAGCCCTACTGCTACTCACATACAGTTAATTGTGTGCCAATTTACAGGTAATTGGATAGTAGCTTCTGCTTCTGCAGCCTAGTTGCTGTTGCTGTTGCTACTGTTGTTGTTGTGGTTGTTGTTGATGTTGTTGTTGTTGGTGTCGCTGCTGTCGCTGTTGCTGCTGTTGTGGCCGGAACTAATGACACAATAAGTCAGCATATATTTTCTATATCGTATGCAATTAGCTTACGTAGTTAGTTGAATTATTCATTTATCCTATACATAGTAGCAACTAATTTTCTTAAGGTAATCAACTGGGAGGAGGCAGCACGTTAATATCGTGCGCTACATAATAAAGAAGCTAATGCACACACACCCACACACACACACACGTACATTATATATATACATTATTTAGCATATATATA